TTCCTTCTTGATGAAGTTCTTTATCCGTTTTCTACATATATATTTTTACTTTTAATCTATGTTGTTTTATTATTATTGTGTGACGCATCTTCTTGGTGTGACATATTGCATCAAGTTCTTCTGCGTTTAAATAAATGAATAGTAAATATTGATTGTGAGATGGTTATCACATGTGTTACACATGTATGCTTGTCTAGCCTTCGCTTTCCTCAATGATAGAATATATGAATGCTGTAAAAAATAACCTATGTACTGTGAGCGATTTAGCCACCATCCATTGTCAGGCATTCTGCATCTGAATGACAACGATTTACCGTGATTAGTTAGCTGCATAGATGACTGTTGTCTCACTACCGCCCTCCCCGCCCCTTATCTTTCCCTAGTGAATTTCACACTCAACAAACTGACATTGCTTTGTACAGTGTGTACCAGAGTGCCATAATCTGATCTTAGCACATCTGAGTGGTCAAAAGCCTACAAGGCAAATCATGTGGTGATCAAATTGCAACTCTACGCATCATCATCACCGCAGAATAAAGCATAGAATAATGGCAGTCAAATCTCTACCTCAAATTCATTGCCTTCAGAAAGGGCCTTCCAGAGACAGCGTTGACCGAGAAGTAATATGGAAGCTACTTCAACACACTATGGCGTGCAGTGCCCCAAATCTTCAGTAAACTCATTCAACAGCTGTCTGGCTATATGACAATGCTACATGTCAGGTGATCCACAGCGGAAAATTCAGCGAAGCCTGTCTTTGAAGTGAGTGAATACAGGAGTAAGACAAGCCGACTGGCTAGCTCCAAGCCATTTAACATTTAATTGTGGTGGACTGGACTGGATTATGCGTCAGTCTGCGCGTTCGGAGTGAGTCAGTGCGAAGACGCTGCACTGACCGATAACATGACTCTAGAACATCTCGATTTAGCGTGTGGATGATTTATGCCGTTGAATGTCACACAAACACGAACTCGACGACTTACAGCCAGGCAGGCAGGCGAAAACTGTCTAAAGAAGCTGGCTGGCTGGCTGGCTTGCAGCAGACACAGAACTCACTCCAGGTGAACATAGAGAAGGTGGAGATGGAGCTAACCAACCAACCACTAACAGCAACAATAACAACAACAAGCACCAACCACCGTTAACAGGAGAAAGATCTTGACCGAGGTTACTTCGTGCCCCTTCACTTATGATCTAGCCTAGGCTGTAGCATTGTTACAACCGCAGACAGCTGGAACGGACGAAGATGTCAAAATCAGCCAGCCAGCCAGCCAGAATCGGGAAGGCACGATACACCTTCCATCACGCAGTGCACTGCGTGTGTGTCACGAAAAAGATTTTCAACAAGTGAAAAGCGCTTATCAACAACTCCCCCTTCGCTGGTTGGTCAAATGGCCTGCCTGCCAGCCAGAAAGAATTAGCAACAAGTAACTCTGAACAAACCAACCGAGAGCTGCCGATTGTTCAAAAAATATGTAGGAGTAAATGGAGATGGAATGACTGGGCATGACTCTGAGGAAGGAGGCTGAATGTCGAATGACATCGCGCTCAACGCAGGCCATCGCTGCAGTGGAGTCCCTATGGGAAATGGCGAGTGGGTGGGTGTTCGGTGCGATGGTGACAATGAGGAGATCTTGTGGGGAGGGGGAGCGGGAGGAGATGAGAGGCTATATGCAATTGTGGACCCAACTGAAGCCCTGTATTCAACTAGAAACCCGAGGGAGTTATAGTAATAATAAATAATTCTTGTAATATAAACGGCATTGTGATGATAGGGGGGGGGTATATCGGATGCCTCCTATCTCGGCATCAGTTTCTGTTTTTGAATTTTTCCTGGCATATAACTCCAACCTCTTCTAATTTTTTTAATTTATATATTCTGCCCATTCACCTGCTTTATTCTTCCCCTTTAAGCTAAAATCAACAGTGTGTGATATTTATTATTGTTGTTGTTTCCTTTAATTCCTAGAGGAACATAGGGCTTCAGCCGTGTGTCTCCATTGAGTTCGGTTCTCCGCTAGAGTCTTCACCTGGCTCCAAGTCTGCTCACACGTTTTTATCTCCTCTTCACATAACCTCCTCTAAGTCAGCCTTGGACGACCAACTCGCCGCTTCCCTTTCGGTCGGGTTCCACTCGAGCAATGGCTTGTCTAGTGATGTCACTTGATGGTTTCCTCAGAGTGTGGCCAATCCATCTCCATTTCTTCCTGCCTATTTGTTTCACAATCGGTTCCTGCTGTGTTGGTTCGCTCATTGCCAGAGATCCCACCCTGTTGCTGATCTTTTCTGGCCGGCCATCTGATCTTGAGTATTGAGCGAAGACAACTGTTAATGAAGGTCTGTAGTTTGTTTGAGATGCTCTTTATGACGCGCTGGCCAAGTCTCTGATCTGTATAGTGAGTAGCACTGACTGACTTCACATTGGAGTTGAAAATCCGTATCTTATTTTTCATGCTGAGTAGTGCTGTTGACCTCCACACAGACTTGAGAGTAGTGAAAGCTTGTCTTGCTTTTCCGATTCTTGCTTTGATATCCTCGTCAGTTCCGTCCGCCTGTAGTTGAAACGATGCTTCCTAGGTGGGTAAGTGAAGGAGGTTGTTTCTTTCAGGTTCCTTCCATTTATGCTGATTGTTGTCTGTGGTTGTTGTTCTTGTCCAGGAATCTTCATCACCTACCTCTGTTTTCTCTATGTTCACCTGAAGGAAGTCCTATCTTCTCTGGATGCTTCTTCTGCTAACTTGTTGCTTTTCGCTTGCATATCTTCCAGCAGTTTGTGGGAAATCAGACATATATACCACATCGGCGAAGTTCAGATCCTCCAGGTTTTTTGTGTGATTCCTTTTTATGCCTGTTTCCTCATTGCCCACTGTTTGTTGCACTATCTAATCTACTGCAATCAGGAAAATCACTGGCGATAGTAGACAGCCTTGTCTTACTCCTGTCCTCACTTCTTAGAAAGATTCCGTAAGTTTCCCGTTGTGGATTACTTGTCATGCAGCTTTCTCGTACAGCTGTTGGATGAGATGTATAATTGTCGGTGGCACCCCTTCCTAGTAGCGAAGTAGTTTCCAAATCACCTCTCGATCGACGCTGTCGAAGGCCTTTTCAAAGTCGATGAAGTTGAGCGAGATAGAGAGGTGACTGCCATTCAAAGCAGGCTTTGTTCAATGATGATCCGTAATTCCGTATGTGCCACCGACATTCTTCTCAGATTGACACAATTTCCCCACTTGAGCATTAAAGTCACCAGCTAAAACGACTATATCTGAGCGTTTAGCCTTTCGCAGCAAACTAGACATCTTTTGGTAGAACTCATCCTTCGTTTCATCCGAACTGCAGTCAGTGGGGGCGTAGGCGGAGATTACGAAAAGGCATCGGCGAGTAGTGCAGTCCTTTCTCCTTTTCACTGATCCGTTCAGACGGACAGCACACATTCGGCTATCTACCGGGATCCAGTCAAGTTATGTCTTTTCTGCTCTAGTACTTAAAGCTATCCCAACACCAGCTAATCCTCGTGAGCTAGCCGTCGCATCTCCTGACACCCTCAAGGTGAATTTTGTAGATTCATCCTGTTGGCCAGGTGGGGTTATGTGAATAACCACACTTGGGTCTTGTATGCGTGTTTCTGAAACACAACATACATCAATGGCTCGGTATGCCAGAGTCTTAGCTAGTGATGCTTGTTGTCCTATTTGGCAAAGTGTCCTAACATTAAATGCCCCTATATGAAATTGGTGACGTAGCTTTAGGAGACTATCGATGGTGGTTTTTTGGCTTCCGTCGTTTTCAGTGCACACAGAGTGAAGAGGAGGTGAAGAGCCATTAAGTAGAGGAGTTGCATTGGTAGAAGGAAGGCAAGATAATAGAGGTGAAGATGAAGACAAAGATGAGTGAGGATTAGAGAGGTTTCGCGTGCACTTTGGATTAAAAGGGCGATTGTTACTTCCTGGCTGCCCACACCGTGGAAGTTGGTTGCGTGACTGCAGAGTCTAGGGGAGAACTGCTTGAGGCCGGTCACACACGGCCTGTTTTTGTTTGTTGTTTTTTACTTGGTGTGTCTCAGTAGCGTATTTATCACTTCTGCCCTGTGACATGGCAGCAGAGAGCGCGGTCGTTGTTAATCCGGGCCCCGACCGATCCGGCATGATATTTTGTGATTTATTTTGAGTCATAGAATTGGATTGGGTAACTGCTTTTTGTCTAACCGCTATCCAAACAACTTTTTGGCATGGTAGGACCTACAGGAACATAAGTTCCAGCCAGTATAGCTTGTTGGGTCATTGCGGTGTTCAAGCCCGACCACCACGTCAAGGTAGCAGCTTTCGATCGGGAAAATCAATCGAAGAGGCTATAAAGTTACATAGATTGAGATGGCTAGGTCACGTGCTGCGCATGGCTAGCCATCGCCTCCCCCTCCCGATAGGCATTACTAGCTGATATAGGTGCAGGTTGGAAAAGAGTAAGTGGTGCCATGCCAAACAAAAATATGGCCTCATCAATCCATGAAATCCTTGACAGTTAAACTGAGTCAGTCAGGTAGGGAGATGCAGACTTCCGGGTTGGGGCCCATCCTCGGGACTGTAAGAATCAATGGCTGGAGACAGACAATAGGTGACATGCATGGCTCAAAATCGTTGTCAATGGCTTACGCAGATGTATTCAGTCTCTTGTGTAATCTTTCATAATCCTTTCTACCATTACTCATTCTGTTTCTCTCTTATACTTGTCAAAAGTCTATTGATTCTCTTCACTCATCTATCTTCTTGTCTACGTTTGTGTGCTATTTGGAACTTGTCAACTCGAACTGGTGCACTTCGGTGCCGAGTTCTACGTTGAAGCCAGCCAGCCAGATCCGTAATGTGACGATGTGATCAATGCATGACTTGTTGTTACTCCTGAATCCGTGTGATATTTTGGGGAGATTTAAAAGTTCAAGAAGAAGATGTGATCATTTGAGTGGCAAAATTCATATTGTTTCTGTTTTTGTTTTTTCCTTACAGGTATTGCACTGTCAATGCTTCAATCCACTACTAAATCATTTGGCAACAACAGAAACTGATTCAGATGAAGATCTAATCGGTTACTCCTTTCCATCATCATCGTCGTCGGCGTCATCGGCGTCGTCTGCATCATCGTGTATACACATGCCTACACATGCACCACCACCACCACCACCACCACAACAACAACACCACCACAATAACACAAGTCATCATATCAGTCATAGCGAAAATAATTCAGTGCAGAGAATTAATGACAATGAAAGAGGAGGTGGTGGTGGTGGTGGTGGTCAGCAGCAGCAGTATGATTATTATTATTATTATGATAGAAGTCTTCGCCCAGAGATTGGATTAGTCCCGTCCACACTAGTCGAAAATATCCCACTTCCATTCATGCTCATTCCTACAAGTGAATTAGCCTCAGGTGATTCACTGACCTGCACAGTTGTCAATATTTTGGTAAGTATTTCGTATATGTATATATATATATATTATTATTGTTCCCTTGGGTTCCTAGTAGAACATACGGCTTCAACTACACGTCTCCACTTGCTTCTGTCTTCTGCTGTACTTTTCACTTGCATCCATGTTAGTCCATACTGTTTCAACTCTTCTTCACACGATCTCCTCCATGTCACCTTTGGACGTCCCACTACTCGCCGCTTCCCTTTCGGGTTCCACTCGAGCGATGGCCTGACGCGCGATGTCACCCATCGGCCTCCTCTCAGCGAGTGTTCAATCCATCTCCACTTCTTTCTCCTGCATATTTATTACTTAAGCGATTGGTTCTTGTTTTGTTTGTTTGTTCCCGTAGTTTCTTGTTGGTTCTTGTTCTTTCCGGCCATCTGATCTTGAGTATGGAACGAAGGCAGCTGTTGATGAAGGTCTGCAACAGGCTGTTGGAAATGCTCATTCTTTGTGACACACTGGCCAAGTTTCTGATCCATCCGTATAGAAGAAGTGACTGACTTGACGTTTGTATTGAAAATCCGAATCATTTTGTTGTTGAGTGTTGGTGAGTGACAGCGGAAGATTTCCAGATTGGTTTCAGGTTGATGAATGTGTTTCTCGCCTTCCCGATTCTCGATTTGACATCTTCGTCCGTTCCTCGTGTAGTTGAGGCAATGCTCCTTAGATAAGTGAATAAAGTAACCTCTTTCAAATCCCTTCTGTTGATGGTGATTGGCGTTGGTGGATGTTGCTGCTGTTGTTTTTGTTGGTTGGTTGGTTATTTTCATAACCTCCGTCTTGTCTATGTTCACCTGGAGTCCTGTCTTCTCTGGCTGCTTCTTCGACCAGTTTGTCGGTTTTCGCTTGTAAGTAAGTCTTCGATTTTGTGTGACATCAAACATAAATCATCCACGTGCGAAATCTAGGTCTTCTAGGTTCTTCACGTCGGTCCAGGATATCCCTGTCTTCTCGTTTCCCACTGTCTGATGACGCATAATCCAGTCCACCACAAATGTAGGAATACAAATGTAGGTAATTTGCAAACCACTCTCTCAGATGTTCCCGAGATCTGCCTCCCTGTGGGTCTAGGCAGTCAGTTCTCAGCGCGAGAAGTCACTGGTTGTAAACCCACTGCCCTGTCTACTTCAACTACTAGTTAGTGTTCTCAACTCCCACAGGGGCTAAGTTTGCCACTTAACCTGGTGCATATATATATATGTGTATATTAAGGTTGTCATTATTTTACTTAACTCAGCTTCTAATTGCTATTTGCTTAATCACATGTTTCAGCATACCGATAAATGTGTTACAGTTTAGTTTAACACGTAGGTAAATTACCCTATTCCAGGTCCTAATTAATACATATGTAACCTATTTTGCAGTCACTAGTGTGGACATTAGTCGTTCGAAATTAAAAAACTGTCAGACACTTAATTATTTTCAGTAAATAAATTGGTGTTTTTTTTTGTAATCATAATTGCATAATCTTGTTAAAGTCAAAGTCCTCGTAACGCACACTAACTGCAAACGATATAGATTAGTTAATTATTGGTTAATCAATATGCGTGTTTGAATAAAGCAAGAACAACAACAACAGCAGTGTGCTTTGTGCAGAATATTATGCTACCATAATTGTTTATTTCGTTGGCTTGGCTTCTTCCGCTTACAGCCTAAATATAAGCTGTTATTGTTATTAAGTTTATGTACAGAAAAGTCTTAACTTACTTGCAAATTTTACATGATGTCAGTTGACAGGAGGTTCTGGACTTAGTGGACTTAGTGTTCAGTGCTCAGAAAATAACGCGTATATCGTTTGTTACACAGGGAGTTCATGTTTGAACAAAATCAGTGTGCGCATACAGTGGTAAAGGAGTTATGTTGTAACCAATAAGAGCACAGATGCATAAGATGACGAGTAACTAATAAATTCGGTAACAGTGTACTGAGTTCAACCGAAATCATAGAAACTAGAGACATGCGAAATTTTGGTGTGGTTGTGTTCTCTGAGCCAGCTGGATAGTTAATTTGCCAAGCTTTCATCACCCTACTAGGTGACATCTTCAGCGCATACTTCAATTTGAATTGAAGTGAGCTTTCAGAATCCTCCACGAGTTTATTAATCATCTCTCCCGGTCGGTGACCTTGGACTTAATTGATTGGTTGTTTTTGTGTGTTTTCACACCTTCTAGGCTACTTGTATTGGAACTGATTGTTTCTTTGATTTGAACTTTGACCCTTTGTGTGCGTGTGAGGTTTCTTTCTCATCGGTTGATAAATTCTGTCTATCTTGATGTGTCTGTTGATTGATGATTCACTGGAATGCCAAGCTTCTAAAAATTCTCTAGCATTGTTGTTGTTTCCCTTGTCTAATATTTGAACGTTGTCCTAGTCGAATTGATGTCCGTGGTTGCCTGTATATAGTGATTGGGGGGAGTGGATGTCATATCTTGATGTTCGTTTTATCTTCTTTCGCTGTTGAGTCTTTTGGTTGATATAGAGCCAGTTGAGTGAACTGATTTTGTTGGTTTGTGTGCGACATCAATTCCTTAGGGTTTGAAGGATCTTGCAGTGATTTCTGACATATCCTCTATACATGGCAGGGCGATTTTCTTTGTGCTTTCCTTGGGGGCTTTTGGTTTGATAGGTGGGCTTGGGGTATATGTCTTTTGATGAAATTCCGTGGATATTCACTCTTCTGGAAGACGTCCATGAGATATCTTTCTTCCATTTTCCTTAAGTTGGGAGTGCTGCAATGAGTCCTGGCTGGCCCTCCTGAATAGTGTTTGTATGCAATTCCTTTTGTGTGTTATTGGGTTGTTTCTGTTATAATTCAGTATTTGGTCTGTGTGAGTTGATTTCCTATAAACATGAGTTTCTAATTCTCGCGTGGTTGTTCGCTTGACTAAGACGTCCAAAAATGGGATTTTGTTCTCGGATTCCTCTTCTCTTGTGAATTTGATGTCGTTGAAGACGTTGTTTATTAAGTTATGAGTTTTATCTAACTCCTTTCTTTTGATTATTATGAATGTGTCGTCTACGTAGCGTATCCAAATCTTGTGTTTGATCTTTGGTCGGATTATGTTTTCTAGCCCTTGCATCACTGCTTCTGCAATCAAACCTGATATTGGCGATCCCATGAAGGTTCCTTTGACTTGTTCATATATTTGTCCGTTGAATTGGAAGTACGTTGTTAGGCAAAGGTTTATGCATTCCATCCAGCTTGTGTGTTGCATTTTTGATTGTTGTGGGAGGTGTTCGTCGTTGCTGAGTAATTGCTCCATGGTTTCATGTGCTAGTTTTTGTCCTACTGAGGTATATAATGCTGTGACGTCGAAGGATATCATTATTTCTTGTTCATCTATTTGGATGCCTCTGATTTTCTCTAGAAATTGGATAGCAGAGTTGATGGAGTGATCACAAGATTCCATTAGGTGTTTCAGTTTTCTGCATAATTCCTTGGATAAATTGTATGTTAGAGTTCCTGGTAGTGATACAATTGCTCGTAACGGGATATTTGGTTTGTGTATTTTGGGTCTGCAGAATTACACTATATCAAAGCGGGTGGGTTGAGGTTGAAGGCAAGGGTTACGTAATCAAGTGAAAGAAAGAAACAGTTAAGACATCCAGTTACCAGGGCAGGCAAAGACTGATGATAACTGCTTCTTTCTGAACACATAAATCGGGTTCCAGGCGTTTGATAGAGATTGCTTCGGCAAGCATGAGAAGGATTGAGCTTTTTGTCTATTGATAATTTCAAAGGATTTTGTGATTTCCACTTCATGACCCCCGTAATAAGAAAAAGCCTGGTATTGGCACCACTGTAATCGTTTGTTCCCTTGAAAAGCAGGCGTTCTCAGGTACATATTCAGGAAATCGGAGGTGTGCCCTTCTTCTTTCTATTCTCCAAATGTAATTGTTCTCGGAGATGCATGTGAATTTGTATACACAGTTGGAGTTGTTAACATGCGAGAGGTGGAGATCTGTCGACTTTTGATCGCAGCAAAGAACATGTTGTCCGATAGACGAGGACGAATTTAGCCAGCTGCAGAATAGGCTCTAGCTAGTGACGTACTCAATGTTCTATTGCGAATTGCTGTAATATTTTCACGTTTAAAATCGAGTTGAATGAAGGCAGAGGCTTCTTTGCTGCTGTATGATTTGTTTGGTATTTGAGCCTCTACATCAATTGTTCCCCAGCATACCGATAAATGTGTTGCATTTTAGTTTAACACGTAGGTAAATTAGCCTATTCCAGGTACTAATTAATACATATTTAGCTTATTTGCAGTCACTGGTGTAGTAGACATTAGTCGTTCAAAATGAAAACTGTTAGACACTAAATTTTTTTCCATTAATCTAAGTATTATTTTTGTTGTTGTTGTTATTGTTTTCTTGATACTCTAATTGAATAAACTCATTAAAATTAAAGTCCTCGTAGCGCACACTCATTGCAAACGACATGGATTATGCTTGACGTCCACAATATTGAAATTCCAAGGGAAAATATACATGGGAATTTGACATGGGTTCACCAATATCCCCGATTGTGGCAGATCTATTCTTGCAGCTATTGAGTGGTTCAGCTCCACACCGAAAGTATGGCGGAGGTATGTAGATGACGCATCCACCGTATCAACAGAGAAAAGAACGAGCATATTTTCAGTTTTGATAATACGAGCTCTTTCTGTTTCGTCCATTGATTCTCTTCAACTGCTGCCTACATCCTAAATAGGTCGATGATGTATTACAATACAAAATGGCGTCTGAACATACTTTTTACAATGGCTTCAAGTTATAGGTAGAAAGTAGGCAACATAATTTCAAAGGTGATGTAAGCAGATAATTATTTAGTGTTAAAAGAGTAACTATTTCTATGGTAATTAGACAAAGGGGTAGACTTCAGATTTCTTATGGAAACAAGGATGGATTAGGGGCAAAATACAAGATGGAACAAAAGAGTTCATTTTGAAGTCTCCTCTCTGTTTAATTACAAATACAGTTCCTTGGGG